CGAGAAACTAACTTGGGGTGAAAATTTTTCGTTCATTCAAACATTGTCGCCCTTTTTTGTAATTATATATATATATATATATATATATATATATATATATATATATATATATATATATATATATATATATATATATATATATATATATATATCTTATTTAACCATTGTAAATTTCAGTATCATCCATAAACAAATTAATTTACTTGAAAAAAAAAATAGGAAGATTATAATTACCAAGATACATTGCAAGAACCATCATAACGATGAAAGCTTTCATGGTTGAGTTTATTTCACTAAAATACTTGTGTAAAAAAAAAACACTCTTCATAGACACTGTCGGTGTTTTGTGTAGGTTTGAAGCAGATACGGAGATAATTTATAGTTATCTGCTCGTCTTATCTCTCCTTTGTTCGCCAGATAATTTTAATTCACGTCACGAAATAATGTTTCATTTTCTAGAGTAAACAAAAACAAAGTTGTTTTGTTAGCATACCTCAGGTATTTTTAGCCTGAATGCGTCAATGACACGTTTAGTAAACATCCGCTTATTAATGACTAAGAGAAATGTCCTTGTATTATGTACGTAGTTTATGAAGATAATATTTCATTTAAAATTGATCTACCGTGTTGAGCTATTACTAGTAAAAAAACTACTTTTTTATTAAGATTTGAATTTTTGATGTGCAGTTCTGCAATTTTTGTATATTAATTAGATTAATTAACTGCTGCGATATTGTTATGTACCAGTTGCATAGCCATGAATTGGTGATGGAAGAGGTTCAAACATTTTTACACATACACACACACACACACACACACACACATATATATATATATATATATATATATATATATATATATATATATATATATATATATATATATATATATATAGGCCTATATATAATGAGGGTTGGGGTCCATGTAGGAGCTCTAGACCCCCCCCCACGATCCACATTTGCCACGCCACTTTTGTGTACTGACCTTAGACGTCAGGTCAGGTAAGACAAATCAACTCTAAATAGTATCCACACCTGTTAAAGTCAGACTATAAATGTTCTTCTTTAGCGACAACTCTCCATTATAATCTCTGACCTGGTGTGTTTATTCCCACGGTTTGAACTGTATCCATTCCCACGGTTCAAATTGTATCTATTACCATGATTTTATTGTATCCATTCCCACGATTTTATTATATCCATTCCCATGACTTTTACTGTATCCATTATCACGATTTAAATTGTATCCATTCCCACGATTTAAATTGTATCATCTACTGTCGAATGTGTTTGTTCAGTCACAGATACCACGATTTCTCTTAACTTTTGCTCTTGACGATACTACGACAGTCAGCACACAGCATGTTCTCTCATTTTCCACTCCCACCCTCACCATTACCCCCACCATCCACCCCCCCCCCTCTATCATACACCAAAAACCCAACCAAGCGTGACACTGGCACCAGGCAGAACGTAACTCTGACAGCCACAAGTTCCACTTCATACAAGTTCCACTTCATACAAGTTCCACTTCATACAAGTTCCACTTCATACAAGTTCCACTTCATACAAGTTCCACTTTATACAAGTTCAACTTCATACAAGTTCCACTTCATACAAGTTCCACTTCATACAAGTTCCACTTCATACAAGGTCCACTTCATACAAGTTCCACTTCATACAAGGTCCACTTCATACAAGTTCCACTTCATACAAGTTCCACTTTATACAAGTTCAACTTCATACAAGTTCCACTTCATACAAGTTCCACTTCATACAAGTTCCACTTCATACAAGTTCCACTTCATACAAGGTCCACTTCATACAAGTTCCACTTCATACAAGTTCCACTTTATACAAGTTCAACTTCATACAAGTTCCACTTCATACAAGTTCCACTTCATACAAGTTCCACTTCATACAAGTTCCACTTCATACATGTCACAAAAACCTGACACATTGGTACAAATGGCATTTCCTACTTTTAAATTGCCCATTGGTATTTAATTACCAAGCGTTTCTTGAATATGATATTACTCAGATAACACGGGCGAGGAATCGTGTGCATAGAAACTCTAATCAAATTCTAAACAATTTACTGAGGTCTCTTGTTCAAAAGTTTAATGACAATCTTTATTCCTTGGCAAAAATGCTGATACCAGACGATGTACATCTACCACTACCATTTAGATTGTTAACTGCTACTGATGTGCTTTGATCAAAATAACGTCTATTTCACTGCCTAGATTTACCTATTTTTCATACTCGACTTTATAACTGACAATATTAACACCACATACTAAAACAAAATTAGGATATCAAGGTAATCGGTTATTCGTTTGTGTTAAAAAAGAAACATAGACAACGATTTCTAAGAAATTCTTTGATGGAACTTTATTTTATACTAAACACGTTTCCTGTATCTTGTAAATTTAGTCCTATAAGGAACGGATGTCTTGAGATTAGTTAGATTGTTTATACGTTGGTTTATTTTAATTCAAATAGAACGAGAGAGAAAAAAATTGAAAAAAAAATGTTTTATCATAATTATTCATTCTGTTTGATGAGTCATATAGAAGCATTTTTTAATGAATAAAACGGCTGATTTTAACATGATGTATCGTACAATTCAAAATCCATAGTCAATAAAGCGTGTTAAAGAGAGATAATAAAATATGTATGTTTTTTTGACAAATAATAGACCTATAAGTAATGGAGACAAGCGAGTTGACGAGATTCCTTCCATAGTGTTGTTGACATGGAATAAAAACGTGCTTTTTAGATTTAGACCGTAAAAAAAAATAAAAAATACAAAATTTAAGCCTAAAATTAATTTAGAAGTTTTATATTTTTAGAATAAATGCTATAAAAGTTGCAAATCCAGAGAACTTGAAAATAATTTGTTGAGTTTAAGGCTATATTTCTATTTATTTTCATCAAGCCTAAGTTATAACCGGATGTTTCACTTTCGTAAGACAAATATTGATTGGCTGTACAGTAACTTAGTGATCGATAACTATTTGTTTACAAAACTTTGCAGATCAAGTTTTTAAATAACAATGCAAATTTAAAACCCCATGACCTAGTTTTCTATTTTTAGCTTACAATGTGTACAATAAAATTTATGTCGGCCTATCCAATAGCAGGATGCCATTGTTTATGTCGCCATTACACGTGAAAACCAAATTGTTTTTGCTTTTTTTTAATTTTTATTTAGTTACCGAAAATATTAAAAACATCAAATACGTCCAATCTTTAGTAAAGTCCGAAAAAAACCAGACAGACAGGATTTTATAATCATATTAATTGTAACTACGCCGTGCAAGATTTTTAAATTAATTTATGCACCTCTCAAATACCTTTGAGACTTTTCTCGCTTGTGTCCATTGGTATGTAGTGACAAAATTACTGAAAAGACCGATAGCGCTATAAAAAATAAACCGGGAGTGATCTCCCCTAAACTTTCTCGAATATTCTTATATAAAATAACAGGGGATGGGAACTCGGGCTATAGACATGATTTTTAATCCATTTTAAATACTTAAAGTTTTAAAAATAGAATAAAATCTCGTAGACAAATTAATTGCACACCAAGTGAACGCCCAATAAAAAAGCGCAAATAGTGCGCAATATTATTAGTACTTTTAAAATTTACATTAGTTTTTTGAGAAATCGGAAGTAGCGTAAATTACTACTTCCAGTCAACGGAAATTACTCAAAATTTAACAGAAGGTAGAGAATTAGATCTTTTACTTACATGTGAAATTTCATTTATCTATCTGAAATAGTACTAAAGTTATAGGCTTTTGAAAAATTCAAAGTAGAAAAAGTACCACTTCCGGTTGTTGGAAATCGCTCAAAAGTTGATACGGATCTACGATTTTGATAAAATACTTATATATGAAATTTCATCAACCTAGCTGTAACGGTACTCAAGTTATCGTGTTTACACACGGACACACACACACACACACACACACACACACACACAGACACACAGACATACGGACAAGATTGCAAAATTATGTTTTTCCGTATCAGTGAGATGCAAAACGTCGAGATTTGCAAAAATCTCGATTTTTTTTTTTTGCACGATTACAAGACTTTCTCTATACTTCGTATATACGAGAAAGTAAAAACGAAAGCCTTTTCGCTTTGACTATTGACTTATTAATTTCACACAGACTGGCCTGAAGCTATTGAGTTTGTTCTACTAAGTGACTTGATCAAGATAAGACCGTTTTCTTTTTACTTTAACTTAAGATAAGAAACGAGAAAGCCCGAAATCTTATCAGTGAAAAGAAACTAGTTTTGTCTCGCGCTTAGCGTTCATATACGTTGATAGCTGAACATTGTTTTGTCATTGATAAAATAAGATTTGGCGATTAAAAAAAATGAGTTTAGTATTTTTTTTTGTTTTAGATGTAGTATGCAATTAAAATAACTGTAGACAATTATCTCACATTTAATTACATGTTTTAACTAATGCACAATCTGTCTTCTATCATAAATCCACATGTTTAAAATGTTTGAATACCGAACCTCAATAGGTGTGTGAGCTTAATTATAATCATTATCAACACAATAAATTAACGACTTTTTAAAATTTGGAACTAAATAGTATCACCGTTTTATCATAATTTGCAGGAGAGCTTAAAATGCGTTTCCATTCCAGTTTGTTAATCGACATCTAAGCAGTGTTTAAATTATTTTTTCTTTTGTATAATCCAAAACTAAAACACAGTTTTCAACAGCGCACCATATGTTTAGATGCTTATGGCAAACACATGATGTATGTTATACAATCGAATTATTTTCATCATTTTGTGTAAAATAAGTCTCCTATACTCCATATATGATGAAGTATTGATGTGTAAAACGATGAAATCTGTCAAAATGTCATGTGATTTTTGTGCACGATTACAATACTCCCTCTATACTCTATATACGAGGAAGTAAAAAATAATACATTAAAAACAAACAAGAATTTTTTATTTTTATATTTTAATGTCTTTAGCCTCTCTATCAAAAAGCTGTACTAGAACTTGACTCGTTAACTCAAAAGTTGCTTATGCTGCCCACAACTTCCTGAGTGAGTCTTGTTTCACTGGGTAGACTATCATCCAACTACAGGGGATAAAAAAACACAGTTTAATTTATATTTGAAATGAGAAATAATAATTATATATTAGAGAAGAATTAAGTCAAATAGTCAATTCGTGTTTTACAGTTAGTTTCTCCAGTCCATTTCGTTATTCATCTCGATTCTTGTCCATTTCATGGTGCTCAGTGCATTACCCTGTCTCTGATCACAACACTGACCACAACACTGACCACAACACTGACCACAACACTAACCATAACTCTAACCATAACACTGACCACAACACTGACAACAACACTGACCACAACACTGACCACAACACTGACCACAACACTGACCACAACACTGACAACAACACTAACCAGTAATGTCCACATATGAGACTTACCTAAGAACTGACACAAGTAATGTCCACATTTTAGACTTACCTAAGAACTGACACAAGTAATGTCCACATTTTAGACTTACCTAAGAACTGACACAAGTAATGTCCACATTTTAGACTTACCTAAGAACTGACACAAGTAATGTCCACATTTTAGACTTACCTAAGAACTGACAGGAGTAATGTCCACATTTTAGACTTACCTAAGAACTGACAGGAGTAATGTCCACATTTTAGACTTACCTAAGAACTGACAGGAGTAATGTCCACATTTTAGCCTTACCTAAGAACTGACACAAGTAATGTCCACATTTTAGACTTACCTAAGAACTGACACAAGTAATGTCCACATTTTAGACTTACCTAAGAACTGACAGGAGTAATGTCCACATTTTAGCCTTACCTAAGAACTGACACAAGTAATGTCCACATTTTAGCCTTACCTAAGAACTGACACCAGTAATGTCCACATTTTAGACTTACCTAAGAACTGACACAAGTAATGTCCACATTTTAGCCTTACCTAAGAACTGACACAAGTAATGTCCACATTTTAGACTTACCTAAGAACTGACACAAGTAATGTCCACATTTTAGCCTTACCTAAGAACTGACACAAGTAATGTCCACATTTTAGCCTTACCTAAGAACTGACAGGAGTAATGTCCACATTTTAGCCTTACCTAAGAACTGACACAAGTAATGTCCACATTTTAGCCTTACCTAAGAACTGACACCAGTAATGTCCACATTTTAGACTTACCTAAGAACTGACACAAGTAATGTCCACATTTTAGCCTTACCTAAGAACTGACACAAGTAATGTCCACATTTTAGACTTACCTAAGAACTGACACAAGTAATGTCCACATTTTAGCCTTACCTAAGAACTGACACAAGTAATGTCCACATTTTAGCCTTACCTAAGAACTGACACAAGTAATGTCCACATTTTAGCCTTACCTAAGAACTGACACAAGTAATGTCCACATTTTAGCCTTACCTAAGAACTGACAGGAGTAATGTCCACAGCTATTGATGGTACAGACTTCATTGGGTCCACACCCCGACAGGCTGATAGAGATGGGGTTGCTGTTACATGTGTCCATGCACATGTTGCCAAAAGAGAATAAATCTCGAGGCGCACCATAGGACAACACTAGGGGAAAACATTTAAAATAGTTGAGTTTATAGAGGGAAAAAAGTTAAAATAACTATGTTTATAAGGGAAATGTTTTCAAATATGCACATGCTTACGTGAAATATTTTATATTTATGTGTTTAGATGAAGTATTTTTAAATATTTATTTTTATAGGAGAAATATTTTAAAATATTTACGTTTATAAGTGTAAAGTTTAAAACATTTTAAAAACATAACTGTATTGCCATATTTGAAACATTTAAATATTTATCTTTAATTATTTATGTAGTTTCTTTTACCGTCATTCTAATGAAATGAAATAGCTATCTCTACTATTCAGCTAATGTTAAAATACTACACAAGTCGCGAATACACTTCATAGTATCATAGCTGGACACACATAAAAAAAGGCAAACGTTATTGCTGTATTTGGTCTCAATTTTTTAATTATAATTAATTATAAGCAATGCGCAAATAAGTGGTTAAAGGAAAGCATAATCTGAACTTTAAATCAATTACCTAGAAAAATGGCCAACACAGCAAAACACAGAACACCTTTCATTGTAGCTCTTTAGAAATTTCTACCACACTAAAGAGACAAGTATAAAGCCAAGACGAAATTTAAGAACTTTTTTTTTAACGAAAGTTAGAATAGATAACAGCTAAATGTCAGGGAAAAGCTATCTTTTTAAACTGTTATCTTACCGGATTTCCCGAGTTTTTCAATGTCTGTGAGATTTTTAACTGCAACTGTTCAAAACCTCGGCAAAAAATTGTTTAGTTCGTATCTTGAGGGAAACTCGTTGATTAGTCTAAACTAATTGAAATATCCCATGAAATGAAAGAAAACGCCAAGAATGTAATTGACTTGCTTAAGCTCATGAGGAGCAAAGGGCTGCAGGTACGCCTCTCCATTGGACTCTGTTTTGGATAGGTCTCTTTAGTTTAGCCTGTGTATACCCCACAGTCAAGAATTGAAATGACTGACCTAATACTGTAAAGCCCACTAGGAGCAAAGGGCTGCAGGTACGCCTCTCCATCGGACTCTGTTTTGGATAGGTCTCTTTAGTTTAGCCTGTGTATACCCCACAGTCAAGAATTGAAATGACTGACCTAATACTGTAAAGCCCACTAGGAGCAAAGGGCTGCAGGTACGCCTCTCAATTGGACTCTGTGTTGGGAGAGGTCTATTTAGTTTTGCCCATGTATACCCCGCAGTCAAGAATTGAAATGAATGACCTAATCTTGTGAAGCCCACTAGGAGCAAAGGGCTGCAACAACACTTCTCATCGATGTTCTGCTTTGTAAAGGTCTCTCTAGCTGAGCCCATATAAGCCCAAAACCAAGATTTTCTATGATGACAATGAAATATTCTACGTGACAGTAGAACAAAACGAAGACAGTCACCACTACATAATAAGAACATTTTTAAAAAATGATAAGATCGATGTAGAATTAGACAAAAAATACGGGGACGGCGTGATCGGGCAATGGTTAGCGTGTGATTTTTGTTTAAATCCTGATGTCCCAAGTTCGATTGCTCAGATAGTTAGGGCTCGATATCTGCGGGCGGCAACCCAGCTAGGAGAAAAAAAAACTCCAAAATCAAACGTAACAAATTGAAACGTAATACTTGATTGTGTTGGAGGGAATCCCTTCCAACATTAAAAATTGAGAAACAAGAAGAAACTACTGTTTTCTTGTAACCTAGTTAGCTCTTGTGTGGACAAAGGTTATAAAAGAAAATCCAGAAAGTAAATCGGCGTCAACGAATCGATGACGCATTAACATGTTTACAAGCAAAACTAAATTAGTTGTCCAACATTGCAATAAGGAACGTAGAAGGAGAACTGTAACTTAAACTAAGGTGTCAGTGTCATTAATTACATAGGTAAACGACTAATTGATTGTTCAAATTTGATCTTCATTGTACCAATGTAAATTTCATTTACTTTACACTTAAATATAAAACCTACCATGGCGTGTTTCACGTCCGCATATTACCGTGCTTTATTTTCCTTACTATAAAGAACATTATGGCAAGAACCCACAAGTACAGCTGTTCTAAACTTTGCTAATAATTTAAATGTTTGATATACTCGAATCGCGGTAAATCTAACACACAAGTGTTGATGTCAGTTCCAGTCTGTTAAAATTGATTACATTTTCATATATTTCAGAAATATAAAAAAAGGCGGGAAGTTTTGATGCCAAAACGTTCCAAAAAATATACGTCACTCATAGTAATTTGTCAAAAAAATCGAAATAGCAAGACTCTGTTTTTATACAATTTGATAAGCTGTTATTATTTTAGAATAGGTGACAATAAAAGGAAAAATGGTAATCTTACATTAGAAAGAATACCGGAGCTTAAGAACACAGATAAAAAAAATGAAAACATAAATTGCATTTCATTTCTTAAAACTTTCAAGCCAGTCTCCCTACCCCCCCCCCCCCACCACCACCCCCCCCCCCCCCCCCACTCCCATCGCTGATTGTTATAAATGTGTAAATCATTATTCACGGATAATTTTAAACCAAGAAAATACTCTTTCGTGTTGAATTGTTATCTTCATTTGAAATAAGAAGTCAGAATTTTGCAGAGGCGTAGCGAGGGGGGATGGGGGGCGGGGGTACATATGTCCCCGGGCGCCGACCTTAGGGGGCGCCAAAATGGGTTGGAAAAACAAATTATAAATAGTTTTAGGCGGGTGCAAATCAAAAGTTTGAGGGTGGGGGTGGGGGGTGGGTTTCAAATAGAAAGTTTGAGGGGGGGGGGGAAGCAAATCGAACATTTGCTCCCGATGGGGGCGCCAAATTGAAAGTTGTCCACGGGCGCTGGGAAGGGTCGCTACGCCTCTGGATTTTTGTATCTTTGTACTTCACGCGTTGCACACAACACAATACATCCATATTTGTTTAGATAATAGTAGACCTATCTTGATGCTCGACATGCCATTTTGTGCCGTGTTGAGATGTGGGTTCGAATCCCGTCTGGCTATACTGTTCTGTCTTTACAAGGACAATATAATGTACCTGTGTGTAGATTCGGCGATACAAATATGTATACTAATTAAGTTCACATTTAAATAATAAATTACTAGTAACTCTACACCTTGGCTAAAAATAATACGTAACCTACAAATAGCCCAAACAGTGCTATGAGTGTCAGTCGAGCGTCTATCTTAAAAACGTTGAACGTCAACACATTTTAATGGTAAAAGAATAGTTAAAACATTCAATAAAGTCTCAAGTTAACTTCGTTACGAATGTTTAGAGGGAAACAACCCATTACAGCATTGCATTTATACAAAAATTATAAAATACCAAAATAAAAATAAGCATTATTATAAATTATTTACAGTTATAAAAATTAATTATTTTAAACCAGAAATTTACAATAATTTTAAAGTAAAATCATGTTTGTTTTTTTTAAATTTTCATTTCTTTTAAAACATAAAACCGTTAACAAAGTAAACAATTAATTATTATAATTTTAAAAAATTGTGAATCTATATTGCTGATGTTAACATCACTAAAATTTTCTTCATATTATAAAAATTGTAAAAATAAACCGGGAGTAATCTCCCCTAAACTTTCTCGAATATTCTTATATAAAACAACAGGGGATGGGAACTCGGGCTATTGACATGATTTTTAATCCATTTTAAATACTTAAAGTTTTAAAAATAGAATAAAATCTCGTAGACAAAATAATTGCACGCCAAGTGAACTAGTGAACGCCAAATAAAAAAGTGCACAATAGCGCGCAATATTATTAGTACTTTAAAAATTTACATTAGTTTTTTGAGAAATCGGAAGTAGCGTAAATTACTACTTCCGGTCAACGGAAATTACTCAAAATTTAACAGAAGGTAGAGAATTAGATCTTTTACTTACATGTGAAATTTCATTTATCTATCTGAAATAGTACTCAAGTTATAGGCTTTTGAAAAATTCAAAGTAGGAAAAGTACCACTTCCGGTTATCGGAAATCGCTCAAAAGTTGATACGGATCTACGATTTTGATAAAATACTTATATATGAAATTTCATCAACCTAGCTATAACGGTACTCAAGTAATCGTGTTTACACACGGACACACACACAGACACACAGACATACGGACAGAATTGCAAAGCCCAGTTTTTCAGACTGGATTACGCATAAAACCTCTTAATTTTGATAAATCTGGATTGATAATTTTTGCCCGATTAAAATAAGTCCTCTATACTTCGGATGTGATGAAGGACTGAGGTGTAATACGGTGAAAATTGTTAAAATTTCAAGTGATTTTTGTGCACGATTACAATACTTTCTCTATACTTCGTATATACGAGAAAGTAAAAAGTAAAAGAGGAATGAAATGATTATTTATATTATTTTTAAATCTTTAAAGCAATTTTAAATTATTACATATATCATTTGTTATACAATTGTCTCTGAAAATGTTTTTTTTTCAAACATTTGAGACCTAACAAGTGTTTATAATGAAGAGGAAATGTTATCGTCTCTAATATAATATTTTATTTAAGAGATCTATATTTATTTAAACCCTGTTACATTTTTTTGGGGTTGTATAGTGAGTGGATTGGTTAGTGGTTGTATAATATAAAAGAATAGTTATCTATAGACACTTTATATAGCTTTATATAGGAAAGGAAATATTTTAAAAATGTGCCCATTTGTATTATGTGTTAATCATCCATTATGAACGGAAGCGCTTTAAAAGTTTATTTTTTCAATGTCAGTGCATTTTTATTTACTTCAAAAACTTTTTTACTTTCTCGTATATACGTAGTATAGAGAAAGTATTGTAATCGTGCAAAAAAAAAAATTGAGATTTTTACAAATCTCGACGTTTTACACCTCACTGATACGGAAAAACATAATTTTGCAATCTTGTCCGTATGTCTGTGTGTGTGTCTGTGTGTGTGTCCGTGTGTAAACACGATAACTTGAGTACCGTTACAGCTAGGTTGATGAAATTTCATATATAAGTATTATATCAAAATCGTAGATCAGTATCAACTTTTGAGCGATTTCCGATAACCGGAAGTGGTACTTTTTCTACTTTGAATTTTTCAAAAGCCTATAACTTGAGTACTATTTCAGATAGATAAATGAAATTTCACATGTAAGTAAAAGATCTAATTCTCTACCTTCTGTTAAATTTTGAGTAATTTCCGTTGACCGGAAGTAGTAATTTACGCTACTTCCGATTTCTTAAAAAACTAATGTAAATTTTAAAAGTACTAATAATATTGCGTACTATTATGCGCTTTTTTATTTCGCGTTCACTTGGTGTGCAATTAATTGTCTACGAGATTTTATTCTATTTTTAAAACTTTAAGTATTTAAAATGGATTAAAAATCATGTCTATAGCCCGAGTTCCCATCCCCTGTTATTTTATATAAAAATATTCGAGAAAGTTTAGGGGAGATCACTCCCGGTTTATTAATGTAGGTAGTTGGGGCAGGGTGGTCGAGTAACAGAGCAGACCAGTGTTTACCACGAAGTCTTAAGTTCAAGTCCTTGTTACTAACTCGAGTCACGGAAAACGTAATTGGCTGGGTGTTGTGGTGATTATACAATCCCTTTATAAGTCTTAGCCGAGGGAATTGGGGAAGTTAGGACTAAAGGCGTCATTTAGTAATTTAGTATTAGGAGCAAAA